TCTGGCTTAATATAATTGCAGAAGGAAACAATGAAATGTTTCGGTCTTACTCAGATTATATTATGGAAGCAGACGATTTCTATTCACAGAATTCAGTTTAAGGTATTATTGCAACCCACTTGAAGATGTTGTTGTCGTTTGAAAAATATTATCCCGAACATGAGGATCCCCGGAGACAAAATATGTGGATTGTGAACCCTTTTGTTGAACACAAAGAGACAGCCCTTTCCCATGAAGAAACCCTTCATCTTATTGAATTATCATCGGACAATGACTGGAAAGTATTTTTAATACTACGAGTAATTCGAAATTCTGGATAAGAATGAAAAATGAATATCCAAATTTACATGAAACAGTGAGGTTTCTTCTTTGTTTTTCCACCACATATCTTTGTGAAACTGCATTTTCTGCCATGACTGTGCTTAAAACGAAACAGAGGAAATTCCTGCAACTTTCTGACTGTCTCCGTTTGGCTCTCACTTAAATTCATCTGAGAATTAATAAGCTAACGGACGGAAAACAGAAACAGAAGTCTCACTAGCCTAACTAAACCTTCCAAACTCAGTTGTGATAAAAGAAACTAAGATTAACCTTCCAATAACTTATAATTGCTCTGTTAAAGTGTCGCGTCTTTAAAATCAAAATATTAATTAGAGTTGGAAGTTGTGTTTAGAATTGAGAGATTCATACATTTTTATTTATCAAATTACATACTTTACATATACAATTATTTGGCACGTGTATGTGATAATAACTGTTTTGCCGGCAAGTTGACATCCTTCTGCTTCTTCCCCTACTCAGCTGACTTCTATGGTGAGTTTTTTTTCTGTGGCGCTACAGCCCCAATTCGGGCCTAGGCCTACCTCCATGAAACTCTCCGTTTCACTTCGGTTTACTAGATCTTACACGTATGGTAGGACTCCTTGGGCGAGTGATCAGCTCGTCGCAAGGCCTCTGCCTGCAGACAAACACAGAAAAACGCACACAAACATCCATGCCCTGAGTGGGTTCGAACTCACGATCTCGGTTTCCGAGCGAACGAAGACAGTGCATGCCTTAGACTGCTCGGCTACCGTGACCGGCTCTATGGTGAGTTACAATGCATAAATATATTTCTCACTGCCGTTTTTTTTTCAGACCAACATCATTAAAATCAATTTAATAATACAATAATCTATTTTACGCTGAATAATATAAGTTTATGGTGATCAGCATGGGATATGTCAATGAAAATTAGCACAAATTAATTTAATCATGTTGGTCTGAGGAAACTACAAAATGCTACAAGATTTCATTAGTGCAGTGATTGATAACAAATTTAAATGTAATTTTATGTTTGTCAACATGCCACACCGTATACATAAGTGTACTAATTCTCTTTATGATTATGCTATAATTAATTACTAATATTACGTTAGCTTAATGCATGAACTTTAACAAAACTGGAAAGGTATTTACGAGTAAATTTGTTGGGGCTGGGCCCTCGTCTCATAAAAGAAGAACTTACTGGGCCGCGGTGTCATGAACGTTGAGAACCACTGCTCTAAGATACCTTCTCACTTGGTCTCTCCTCTTGATATTTCCCAACCAAAATACCACAGACAAATCTTATTTCATTGGTGAAATTTGTTTACCCAATCCACCCTCCTTATGTACAATTCTTAGTAAGTAAATAACTAAAGAATATGCCTACCAATTATAAAGTTGCTTGTTTTGAAACTTTCTTCTTCTCCTCGCTGATTAAGTTCCCTTGGGGCCAAATATTCTCTTCGGCACTTGCTTTCAGGCACTTTCAATTTATGTTGTTCCCTCACAATAAGAGACCAGGTCTGGAAACCACAGGACGCAGTGGGTGAATTTCATAGTGGCCCACGTCTTATTTTTCAGTTTTAGAAAAGACGACGAGAAAATTCCGGTTATTATGAACTGAAAAGTACGAGTATATGGAAGGAATGGTTGGACGAAGTATTATTGTAGACTAAACGGAAACAATATTATAAGAAGAAGAAGACACATATGCTGTCTCAGAATTTATCTGAAATGAAGAGAATAGCAAATGATCAGCCAATCGCACATACATGTATAAGAAGTCGGTTTGCCAGCCACTCAAACTTAACGTTCGGTGACGGACTCTAAAAAGATTTCTGTTCATGTCAATAAATCTGTCGGTGAAGACGGAAGTCTGGTTTAAAACGCAAAATTTTCTTGTGTTCTGCCATTTCATAATGATATATCAACTGTTACAATTTTAGAACATCGAATAATGCACAGTCAATGGATACAGAGGGATAAGAAGAAACTAATGGCCAATTATTTAAAAAATTTGGTGGTGGGAATTGTTAAATAACTCAAAAAAGCCATATCAATACAGTTCTCTTGCTGTGAAATCGAAATTCTTCTTTAAGATTTCGGGCAACTTTGATACAATTGCTGAAGTCTGTAAACCTTTAATCTCCAGATACCCTCGTTAGCTTTGACGTCTTCAGTCCTTTCACTAATGTACCAGTCGACGAAGACCTGCAAGTCATCAGAAACAAGCTCCTTAACGATGACATACTGGCGGAACAGCCTGTCTTGAAGGTTGAAGCCATCCTGGAGCTGCTGTAGGTTTGCTTGAGAACCACGTATTATCACGTGAAGAAGTTCTTCCAACAAGATGATGGCATGGCTATGGGAAGCTCTCTATCACCCATCGTTAGCAACATCTTCGTGGAGCATTTTGAGAAACTGGCTCTTGACTCGGCACAACAGAAACAATCGCTGTGACTCCGGTACAATGATGACACATTTATGGTCTGGCTTCATGATCCAGACCGGTTATAGGATTTCCACAGTCACCTCAATAGTTTAAGGCCGTCTATCCAGTTCACTATGGAAACAGAGTTGGACAGTGTGGTTCCCTTTCTGGGTGTTCTGGTCGTCAGAAAAGAGACGACACTGGACATGAAAATGTACAGGAAACCCACCCACACCGGTCGATAACTCAACATCAACCCTAGCCATCGCTGCAGTTTAAAAGAGTTTTAATTCAAAGTCTTCACAATAGAGTTTCCACGGTATGCCAAGAACTACAAGATCTGTGTAATGAAATTAGCAGCCTGAGAAGTGACCTTCAGTCCAACGGTTATACCCAAGGATTCGTTAACTCGGCCATCAATTCCAAGGGTAGCAGTCGTCAGAATAAAGAGCAAAGCCACTGGGCTCTGTGGATATTCCACATGTGAAGGGTGTTCCAGGGAAGTTCAAACGTATAGGAAATCGATATAGCACTAGGAAGATCAAATACAAACTTAGGAGTTGACTCATGGAAACCAGGCCGGAAGAAAATCCTCAACAGAAGGAACAGTGAGTCTACTGCATTCCCTGTGTGTGTGTGGCAGAAGCTACGTTGGCGAAACAAGCAGACCTCTAGGCGTGAGGCTCCGTGAACATCGGCACAATGGTCTAGAAAAATCAAAATATCCCAGCATATCTATGAAGAGGGACATAGGGTAGGCTGCGATGAGGCTAGGATTTTGGAAATTGAAAGTAGGTATAGAAAAATATAAGGAATAGGTTTAATCAGTTCTATCAGCCAACTAATTGGACATTTCTCCCATCTGGATCTCCCTTATCAGCAATAAAGTTAGAAACTCAGAAAGATGATCTGTATGACGTAGCAGATTCTTCATGGGTTGCTATAAGGTTTTATTCTCGAGTCATCGGGTTTTACTCCGCAGATGGCTCTAGCGTTAGACATTGTAAGTTTTCACAAATTATCAATTTAATTCTATGCATTGGTGTTCGTGGGCTTGGTTTGTTACCTAGGTTTGTAGCATAAATTTTTACCTTTCTTTCTATCCTAATTCCACAAATATGAGTTCTTTATCAAAATCTTTATTGCATATTTTCATCTTATCTCCCTTCGACCTAGCCTGATCTCAGACACTTAAATAGCTGTAGTGACTCTGACATGGGTTGTGACTACAGTGTGGAGGTGGGTTCGAATACCTCCACCGTAGCCCTGCGAGTCGTAGGAGGTGAAGTATCGAAACTGAGAGAGTAAAATACGATTGCAAGTACCATGGGACTCGGACCCGAGAATGACTGCGCTGGCGAGTACCAGCATCATCTGTAAATGACAAATCGTCCTCTTGTCAGCAAGAGCACCCTACATCAAGAAAAATGCAACTGTCTGAGAGTAATAAAAATCTGGTCGTAAGTCTTAGATGAGTGCTTTATTCCAAGACAGATTGGCCGACTTACCGTCGGTCTATAACACAAGACTAACTCAGGCATGGATTGTCCAGTGACTTTCAAAGGGACCAACACAGTAGGTGTCTTCCCCTCGCCTCAGGACTGAAACAGATTCAATTTCCGAAATGTTGGGTTTTCTAGTTTTTAGAATACCGGACGATGGACAAAGTCCGAAAACCCAGTAGTTCTGAGTGTTGAGAGTTTCGTAATATGAGTATTTTTAATAAGATTCGTTTGTGTACTATTTTTATAGCTTGCGAAAATAGTGTACAAAATAAATTATGTATAATAGTTAATACACGAATAAGAGGAAGAAGTCGGATATTGAGAAAATTGAGAAAAAGTTTTTTGATGAGTTACCATTAATAATAATAAAAAAAAGTAAAGCTATCCCTGTACCAGGCCGTGAAAGTCCATAGGGTTGTGAAACGTTGAGGGTTCCACATTATATAGACAATCGGCTCAAAGATGGCGATAAGGTTGTCAGCCTTACGCGCCGGCCGCGCTTTACTCCCCAGGAAAATTATTTCATTAATTCCTGGTACTCATTTCTGTTAGAGACTGAGTAAACCCAAGGAGCTAGTGCGACTGGAAAGATACTATATACTTTTGTGTTATACTTGAGAGTGGCTCTTATGTAGCCCAAATATGCTGAAACACATATTTGTATTCGATGGCATCATTGTGACAAATAAGTAACATACTGCAACAGTACGGAATACCAACTTTAAGGTAGTTTATTTAACCTTTAAAAAGGAACTTACCATATCGTCTGTGTCCGTGCCGTGTCCGGGAGGCGAAGCAAAGGCCACGGATACCTTAGTTCACCTGAAACAGGCAATGAATTTCAAGATTAAAATATAATGATCTCAGCACCTGTAACAGGAAAGCGTATACGGGAGACACGGTTCTCTATTAACAGCCGCTCAATTTCGTGTAGTTCAAACTTTCTTTATAACCGAGGCTCTCTGAAAAGAACCATGACAGTTTAACCTACTGATCTGGTATGGAAGAAAATTCTTATTAATTTCGCCTGCCTCATATCATGTGCTTTCCTTCCAACTCCTTTCTAATAACAAACCCGTGAATACTTATACATTGTGCAAAGTTGCCAGTTGAGTATGCGACCACCTAAGCTTTCATCTCGTAATCACATCGGAAGCATTTTCTTCGTGGAGAATTTTAGTGGTCCAAGGAAGTGAAAATCTCTAGACACAAGAGCCGGCTGAACTAAAGATGGACAGTACATCACCAGTGAAATTGCTCCAGGAGTTGCTATGCGACAGGGGCTAGGATTGATGTTTTGCAGAAGGATCACTATTTTGTAAACTAGTCAATGAAATCCTTAGGCATCACAGTATTGTGCTTGCATTCACTGTTGATTTCTGGTCCAAGAAGCCGGGGGGGGGATCCACTGTACGACCCATGATGTTGTCACCAACCTTCCCGTAGACTGCTCGAAGCGTCCTTCCCGGCCACGGTGCAGCCTCGAACTTGAGCCCAGCGATTTCCAACTCTTCGGTCCACTTAAGAAGCGTATCAACGAAGAACACTTCTAACGTGATGGTGAAGTGCGACAGTGGGTGCAGACACTAAGCCCTGATTCCTTTTTCTCGCTACTTGCAACATGAAATATATCTCTGGAACAAATATCCTGATAGCTTCGACGATTATGTGGAGATATACGAGTATGTGGTTTGTCCATTATATCTTTTTCTTTAATGGTTCTTCCAGCCCATTCAGGGCTCAGGCCTCTTATCTAGTTCCGTAATCATTTTTCACAGACGGTAGGACTCCTTGGACGAGTGATCAGCTAGTCGCAAGGTCTCTCCCTAAACACAGGACAACACAAACACAGAATAAACGCATATTCACGTCAAGCATCCATACCTTGAGTGGGATTCGAACCCACGATCCCAACGTCCGAGCGAGCGAAGACATCATGCCTTAGACAGCGCGGCCACTGTGACCGGCCCACTGTATCTTACTATGTTTAGCACCTACGTCGAAGTAACTAATACTAGGGAAACACACATTCGGATGTTATTTATTCAACAGCCTACATATTTAAACTGCTGAGTTCATTCAATACCAGTGAGATACATGATGAATCTGGAGAACTGAAAGAGAACGCGGTCATGGCCTGCTTAAAAGTATTTTCTATCGCGTACATTCTTGGAGGTAACGATAAAAGCCACAAAAACAATTATGACACATGATTCCAAGGGGATTCCCAGCAGTGACCTCATTCTCATTGCCTCTCTGTTAAGCTGCTCAGCAAGTACAATGAACTGGTGTAAACAGACGAGCTATTCAGTAATGTCAGAAATAAAAATTTGAATACTGTCATTCAATACGGTTTGAATTTTTCTGCTTTATTTCCCAAGGTACATCTTGCTAAATAGAACAGGTTGGACAGATTCAAACAGCGTAAACGTCGCAGTAAGATACTACACAGAATTAGTATAGAATGTGGGTAGTCCTTCCATTGCCCTGAAATCATGATGCTTTGATCAAATCTGTTACAATATATATTCACCAATCCAAACCCCGTGTATAGTCACTAATGCGTGACAATATCTTCCCTCTTTTGTTTTGCGTTTATAGTACAAGGCCAAGGGCAAAGGAAAACAAATAATTAGCGTTATTACTGGTACAACTGTAAAGGCATAAATTCCAAAATTTATAATTCGGAAATTTTAAACCTCAGTCCTATAAAATAGAATTTTCCAAGACGTGTAACTTTTAACAGACTCAAAAATATGTTCCAAACTCTTCCCCCATTAACCTTTCCTTCTTAATTGTACGAAACGACAAATATAAATGTTCAATATAATGAAAAACTATTGACATAATCATATTGGCAAACTAAAGATGAAAATAGGAAACGCGGAATATAAAGGTATGAGGAAACGGGCCAGGTTGATACAGCTATACTTGAAGTCTGGAGGCAGTTGATTCGCAATCTCGGATAGGACACAGACTGTCCTGAGGCTTACCATAGTTTTCTCAGTACAATCATGAAAATGTCAGGATAGCACCCGGATTAGGCTACGGCCGCTACCTATGAAATCCTCACTATACACCAATCGTCGCTACACAGTCTAGATATATTCAGTGATCTGAAAGATATATAATGACAGCAGAGAGTCCCAATTACAATATAAATTTCATTTCCCCGTGGAGTGAAATCATTGACACTCGCTTTTAACTTTCATGGACCATCGGTGCGAACATATGACATTGTTTCATCGCTCTGCCGTACAAATATAACCTACGGTTATTGAGAAAGCTTGAAGAACGAATTTAAGAAGGGTCTTTACTCTTATTAGTTTCACAATAAATTATCTACAATAATTTCTTTAGAATTCAATAACCATTCCAATATATAAGAAGTATAAATTCCTTTCAAATCTGTTTTAAACGGCGAATTACTCAGTGTATATAATCTCTCAAACTCTACATTTCTCCCTCTCTCGCTCCCTCATTCTCTTTCTCTCCGACTTTATTTCCTCATATTTTCCTAATTCCTCATTTCCAGGAATCATATTCCAGGATTCTCAGCCGTAAGCGATGCAGAATTCAGAGAAACACAATAGTGAGCAGGCAGTCAAACAAAAGGGCTCACTAACATCAATGCCTTAGACGGGACTCGCACCATCATCGTAATCATAATTTCCATAAGTACGTAATTATGATCAGTATGATTTCAAGGGCAAATCAAAGATTTTTACATTTCATAATATATCTCCTGACATCAGTCAGAATTGCCAGTGTCTCGGGCGAGATTCGAACCATCATCTCTGGAATATGAGTCTCGAGTGTTACCGCTATATGATACTGCTTGACATGAGGTGAGATAAATGACATTGCCAGATACACCGGTTTCCAAGAAAGTGGATTTGTAACACGACCCCACCTTCTATTTCGGAGATGTGCGGAGACCGGCCACAAATGTTCGTAGCATATTCCTCGCCACTCAGCAGATGACATCAATAAATGCGGCGAAAGAGACAGACGTATGAATGCAGAAACAGTCAACACAATTTGGTCGTTACAAGGAAAGGGAAAACGAAAAAATACCTATATTTAAAATAGCAATACTTCACTTATGGTAAAATTGTTACTTGTAAGTACCTCGATATACGAAGTTTTCATAACCATGTAAGATANCAGATTTATTATTTTTCCTTCTACCCCTAAGATGGAGGCGATACGTTCCTCCGAAACGTCGGTTAACACCACATATACACGGTGCCAAATCCCAGAAGACTGCTTTCTTATTTTCATAACCGGCTTCACATTTGTTATCGTTAAGTTTATATAGAAATATAAATACATTATCATTTCGCGCTATGGTATATGCCTTCAACTACTATACAACAAATTAGTTTCTTATTTAGCAGTTCAAGTGTTAAGAAATAAATGAGTGTTTTAGAACAAAAACAATTAATTTAATTTGGTTTTCATAACATATAAGATCCACAACTGTAGAATGATTACTTATAGTCTCCAGACAATTCCGGCCTCTAAATACATTGCGAAATCTTTTAAGCGACTGTACATTGTCATAATCCGCCATTTCAGCTGTATAAATTGCGAGATAGCTGCACTGTGCTGAATCTAAATTGTACCAAATATGTCTAAGCGAATAAATTCAATTTATAATGGCTATGAGGCTGCTGGAAAAGTTAAATAAAACAATAGAATAGGGCAGAACTGTAATTTATTCGTCCAATCGAAGTTGATGAACCTCAGGTGGACGTTGATAAACATTCTGGTTATTCTAGCTCTACAGTTATAACAATTCTGAAGAGCACAGAAAATTTAAACGAGTCAATCAGCACGTTGTTCCCTTAGCTACTTCGAAGTTTACTCTTCCAAGGAAAGTATGTACAGAAGAAGATGGAGAGTACGTGAGGAAATACGAGTATATGTTGAAGATGAAAATTTGTGAAACTTTTCTCTGAGACCTGCAATCTCTTAGTTTCCTCCTGAATGTGATTGTGATTCGTTGTTGCGTTCCCAAATGTTTGAACTGTACCACATTTTCAAAACATCTGTTAGCTCTCTTTATGTCATGATTTTGTCCTGCATTCTGGTGACGAGACAGCAATATATACTTAGTTTTCTCTGTTTCCTTCTAGACCAACCTCTTTACTAGTGTCAAAATAAAGTTCCTGTACTTCTCTTTATGGTATCTAAGTTACCCCAAGTAGATTCACATCGTCAGCATAGACCAACAGCTGATGTGTCCCACTAAATTTCAGTCCAATCTGTTATTCCTGGACCTTCCTAATGGCATATTCTAAACCAACGTTGAAAAGCAGTAGCCATAAAACATCTCCTTATTTTGGGATATTTTGGATAGGAAAATTATCGGACAAATGTTTATATATACGGACTTTACTGTACGTTTCATTTAAACACATTTCAATCAGTCTAACTTCTATCAAAGGTACCTTAAACTCTATGATAATCATAAGCATTGTACAATGTACATCGAACCACCGCACGTATATACGTCCAGACAAGAAACACATACGCCATACTGTATGATTATATAAAGATATGTACATATCGTGGGAATAGCATACCAATATATCACACAATAAAAACCCATACATCATACTCATTTATTGCAGATACAAACTTGATTTTGTGCTCTACAACCGGGCTTACTACGCAGAAAGCTTCTTCAACAAAGACCTTACAAACAACATACATGCCCAGTTTCTACACTGTAGCAGTGAAGCCTAAAATACAGAATGGGGCGCAGAAACTTCCCTTTTTTGAAGGCGAATAAAAGAAAAATTATTGCTGATAGA